ATCTAACAATTCCTCTCTTTATTTTTTAATTTATGGTTGCGCTTTCTGATTACTATTTCTATAGATAATTTCATATACTAAAAATATAATAACATTTAATATACAGTTACTAGATTTTCTTTTTATACACAGTGTTATATTTTTCTTTAAAAACATATTTCAATTCAAAGTGAAAATGGATTCCTAACAATTTAAATTCAGTTTGCAACCAATCAATTTTTTTTCAGACATTGATTTCCTCATGTTTGGAAATACATGTTAATACCGCTCCTGTTTACTTTATCAAGTTTACACTGCCATAATATAAAGTTAAAGCACATTTTTGTAACTTGTCCAAGGTATGTTCCGGTGTAATTTGAAAGGGCTGCAAACAAATGTTTTAATGTCAATAATAAAACTGTTTTTAAAATTATATTTCTTCCCAATAGGGAAAAAATATTCATATTTACTTGCATTATTTTTAAATTTTTGGAATAATTTAACTCCACAACATCTTCCAATTCAAAATGAAAGTTCCTAGCAATTTAAATTCAGTTTGCGACCAATCATAATTATGCTCTTTACACCATCTAAGATTTGATCTCTTTTTTGAACCAATCCAAATAAGTTTTGTCTTAATTTGACCTTTAAACCTGAAAATCTTTCAAAGAAACTGTACTGCATACAGGCACTTCTCAATTCGTATTCAACATTAGCCACCTGTAATCGTTTGAAAAGCCCGCTACCCAGCGCAAAAAAGGGCACAACTTCGGCCTAGGTTAGGCTATGTGCAGCTCTCAAGTGAGGAAAATTGTTTTTTATATTTTCGTGTACTTATTTTTTTTTTTTTATCTGGCGGGATTGTATAACTTTGTGTATGTTATAGCTGAGAAAATTTTTTTTCATATATGTGACATTTTTTTTACATTTTGATGACGTCATCATGGTCAAATGAATGTTTTTTCTGACCCCCTCATCTTTCTTTCCTCAAAACGTTGATGACGTCATATCATCTTAACCATTCGTCATTTCTGAATCATATTAAATGAGCTTATACTTCAGGTCAAGGTTGAATGTCAGTTATCCTAATTTTTAGTTCGCGCGTCTTAAGGTTAGCACCTGCATAGGTTGCACCTCTCTGTTTATTGTGCTCCTTTTTTTTAGGATTTTCCAACTTAAAGCTAAGAAGTATCATCGCAACAGTTGCTGTCCTTTTGATGTTTATGCCAGTGCATTGATTTATGTTATCGATGGTCTATGTCTTGGATTGGTAGTAATGATATTTAAACCAAATCATCGATGAATTTTTCTAGGCCTTGTGGACTATGCCCGATTTGGCATACAGCCGTACTCAACTCAGTATTATCGGTTCGTTACCTATTGTTTCTCGTTTAACTGTTATTGAAAGCATTAAGGCTTACGGTTTATGCAGATCACACCTGTCATTCAAATTCCGAAAAACAAAACGGGGCTCTAGAGGAGTTGCCCGGAGACGCATTCCAACAATTGTGTCAAGGAAAAGATCATATCTGAATTCAGGTGGTGGAGTCAACTACAACAATCTGATATCTATTGAGCTTGGTGGTCGTTGTCGATCTAAGTCTGATCGCTCCGAGCTAAAGTGGTGTTTAATCAATTCACGCTTTGTTCGAAATAAATCATGTGCCATATCCGAATTTGTTGTTGAACATGACTTGGATTACTTATTTATTACTGAAACCTGGCTAAAAGGTGATGTTAGTGATGGCCCTGTTATTGCAGAATTAACTCCTAGTGGTTTTGAATGTCGGAATTTTCCACGACTCACTGGGACTGGTGGTGGTATCGCCTTCATCCACAAGTCTAGCCCTATTGGAAAGGTAACAACGAAATATCCACAATGTTTTCCATCATTTGAGTGGCTAGAAATTACTGTTGATTCCAATCAAGGTCGCATTACATATATTCTTGTGTACCGTCCGCCGCCAAGCTCTGTAAACAACCTTAGTTTTAATGGTTTTTTATCGGATTTTGTGGATCTTTTAGCTATTTACGCTCTAAAAACTACACCTATCATTTATCTTGGAGATTTTAACATTCATCGTAATAAACCTGATGATCGTGATAGTCAACAATTCTCTGAACTACTAAAAATACATGGATTAGTTCAGCTTGTGGATAAACCCACACATCAATCTGGAAATTTGTTGGATCTAGTTATCACTCGCGAAGATTATGTTTCATCACTGGAAGTTCATCCTGCCTTTGCTGTCTCCGACCATTACCCAATTTTCTTTAAACTTTCTTTTCATCAGGAAGGGTCTGTAAATCGCAGAAAAATTACCTATCGCAGTCTTAAGAGTTTTGATATTGATAATTTTGCATCTAAGAGTTGGAAAACAATATTTCAAGTAGATACTGCAACTAAATTACAGATCATCAATACTACAGTCTCACAAACTTTTGACAAATATGCACCGTTTAAGACAAAGACTGTACCTGCTCGCGCTCCTAAGCCATGGATTAACGCTGATATCTTTCGTGCTCGTGCTGAACGCCGGAAGGCAGAACGAACATGGCGACGATCTGGATTAGCAATTCACCGTCAAATTTATCAATCAAAACGCAATGAGGTCAACAAATTGATTGAAATTTCTCGCACGAATCATTTCACGCAGGCGATTTCCGCTTGTGAAGGAGATCAAAAAAAGTTATTTAACATTGTGAATGATTTATTTGGTTCCCGAAGGGGGAAGAATGTGCTTCCTATCCATGCCAACAAAGACGATGTGTCTAATGTCTTTAGCAGGTTTTTTGTGGAGAATATTGAAAACATCAATCACAAACTGAAATCGAATTCAACTCCAGTGAAGGCTACAACAATTTGCCTAATTTTTCTGGTGATTACATGGAATCTTTTGAACCAGCTACGATAAAGGAAATCGTCACACTTATTATAAAAACTTCATCTGCTTTCTGTGATCTTGATCCTCTACCAACATACATACTGAAAGAAGAAAAAATACTTCATTTGTTGGCCTCGCCAATTACAGATATTATCAACGATTCCCTTAGTAAAACCTCTACTGAAAAAGGTTTCTCTGGATCCTAACATATTGAACAACTATCGTCCTATATGTAATATTTCGTTTATTTCAAAAATGTTGGAACATGTTTTTGAATCCAGAATTAAAATGCATTTAAATGAATTCTCCTTATATGAACAATTCCAATCGGCATATAGAATGGCACACAGTACGGAAACGGCTCTTTTGCGTGTGACTAATGATATGCTATGTACAATTGATAACCCTAAAGAATCTGTTGCTCTTTTGTTATTAGATCTTTTGTCTGCTTTTGACACGGTAAACCATAATGTTCTTATCAGTCGCCTGAAAACAAGCTTCGGGCTTAGCAGCACAGTTATCAATTGGTTTAAATCGTATCTAAGTAATCGTAAGCAGAATGTTATCATTGATAACTCACTTTCTAAGCAACTATCAGCAATTAACACTGGTGTCCCGCAAGGTTCCGTCTTAGGACCATTATTATTTTCTATGTACATGCGCCCATTAGGCGAACTGATTAAACAACACGGTGTAAATTATCATTTTTATGCTGACGACAATCAAATTTATATGTCTATCTCAAACAAAGATCATGATCTGGCTAAAGGTGTTCTTGTAAATTGTTTATCTGATATTAGGAATTGGATGACTTGTAACTACTTGCACTTAAATTCTTCAAAGACCGAGTTTCTAATGTTGTCATCTCACCAATTTCATAACAATTTAAGTTCAATTAATGAAATTAAGATGGGTGACAATTTAATTGAGATATCGTCTTGTGCTTGAAACCTTGGGGTTGTGATTAATTCAAAGCTTTCTATGACCAATCATATTTCCAATATTTGCAGGTCGTCCTACTCTTATCTTAAAAGTATTAGCCGTTATAATACGGAAATCGCTTTTTCAGTCTGATACTGAAAAACTAGTTCATGCATTTATTTCGTCTAGATTAGATAACTGTAATTCGTTGCTTGCCGGACTTCCAGCATATAAACCACTTATTCGTGTCCAGAATGCAGCTGCTAGGCTTGTAACAAGAACACGATCATATTACTGACGTATACATTAGACTTCATTGGTTACCGATTCCACAAAGGATTGAATTTAAGTTGCTAATAATGGTTTATAAATCACTACATAGTGTAGCACCACAATATTTATCTGAACTAGTTGAATGGCACACTCAAAAACAAAACCCTCGATCGGGATTTCAGTTTTTGGCAAAGGTGAAATCTGTTAAAGTACTGCGATCGGATGGTAAAAATTCTAAAATAGCATTTAAAGACCGTGCTTTTGAGAATATTGGTCCTCGGCTTTTCAACACTTTACCCCTTTATATTAGATCTTGTTCTACCATTGATGTTTTCAAGTCTCGTTTGAAAACACATTTATTTAAAAAGAGATTTAATGTTTAACTTTCTGTAGGTCAGGTATATTCAACTTGTAGTTCAGCTTCATGAAACTTGATGTACAACTGTATATTCTTGCATTTTCAAAGCTCTTTATTTTAAATTTAAGACACATTATGTACTGTATTTCCTTGCATTTTAATTGCTTTTTATTTTAAATCTCCAAGACAAATGATGTATTGTAGGATTTTTTCCGGCATTTTTAACCTTTTGATGTAAATTTTGATGGTGTGGTAGACTTGTCTTGTCTTTTTCTTTTACAAAATACAAAAAAATCAGTGTTTTATCGTTCTATTTCATGTCGCGTTTTCTTTTATTTCAATGTAGATTTTTGATGTGTTAAATGGTATTGTTATTTTGTGATGATTATTGGTTTCAAACGTTTCTATTGGCTTTTAATGTATATTTCTTATATGTTTAAATTGTATGTTGGTCTATGAATATTTCTAAATTCTATACAGCGCCGATGAACATTTTTTAATGAATATTGTTTTGCGCTTTATTAAATGAAGTTATTATTATTATTATTATTATTAACGTGCGCGTACGCGTGCGTCAACAATTACATATGCTTATAATTATGCCTATTTATAATCAGTTATAGCTCCTTAGGATGAAAGGTGACCCCCATATTGTATTACATAATCTGAAAGCACATGAGTTGTAAATATGATTTTATAGATCATAATGGCTGATCGGACATTGTGACGTCATCATATTGCCATCTGAATTCAATAAAACTCAATTTTATCTATGACGTCATTTTTCAAAATAAGCACTTGAGCGTATCTCGCCCTATCCTAGGTCGATCGTCTCCCAACTTTGAGTATGTTATAGCTGAGACAATTTGCTTTCATATATGCGACTTCTTTTTTATTTTGATGACGTCATCATGGTCAAAAATATGTTTTTCTGAGCCCCTCATCTTTCTCTCTTTAAAACTTTGATGACCCCATAATTATCTTAACCATTCGTCATTTCTGAATCATATTAAATGGGCATGCACTTCAGGTCAAGGGTAAATGTCAGGTACCTCAATTTTATGTTCGCGCGTCTTAACGTGCGCGTACACGGGCGTCAACATTTGTATATACTATTCTTAAAATTATGCCTATTTTTAATCAGTTACAGCTCCTTACAGTGAAAGGTGACCCCCACTTTTTATTACATATTCTGAGAGCACATAATACATGGATTTATATAGGGCAAATAAACGAGGTCTCTATGCGCTAATGAGTTGTAGATATGATTTCATATATCATTACGGCTGATCGGGCATTGTGACGTCATCATATTGCCATCTGAATTTAAATTAACTGAGTTTTTATTCATAACGTCATTATTTTTAAACTCATTTGAACGTATCCCGCTTAATCTTGTTCGATCGTCTCCCACCTGCGAGTATGTTATAGCTGAGACAATTCTCTTTCGGAATTGTCCTTTAAGTTTTTTTTTTTCATTTCGATCACGTTATCATGGTCAAAAAGTATGAATTTTTGGAGCCCTTTTATTTCTCTTTCTTAAAAGATATACAAAATACCACCATAGAGGGCGGCAGATTGTATTTCGACGCTATCAGACAGCTATATAGGTTATATGAATGAAAAATTCGAGTGGCATTACCAACTAACAGGCGGTTTTTAACACATTTGACAATGTTTAATTTCGTGTTCCATTACTGTCCACGCACACATCTGACGTGCGCGTTAGTTAAAATTTGAGATAATTTAAAGAACGTTTCAGGTCATTTTCAGCATTCCAAAACCTTCCATAATTTAAGCGCCGCGCACGCTTTCTGAGGGCAAAAGTACGGCGGATCACCAAACTCGTCCTCAGTGACGAGTTCAAATCTATTATTATTATTATTATTATTATTATTATTACTATTATTACTATTACTACTATTACTACTATTACTATTATTACTATTATTACTATTATTACTATTATTACTATTATTACTATTACTACTATTATTACTACTACTATTATTACTACTACTATTATTACTATTACTATTATTACTATTACTATTATTACTATTACTATTATTACTATTACTATTACTATTGTTACTATTATTATTACTATTATTATTATTACTATTATTATTATTACTATTATTATTATTACTATTATTATTATTACTATTATTATTATTATTACTATTATTATTATTATTACTATTATTAATATTATTATTATTATTATTATTATTATTACTATTATTATTATTACTATTATTATTATTATTATTATTATTATTATTACTATTATTATTATTACTATTATTATTATTATTATTACTATTATTATTATTATTATTATTATTAATTATTAATTATTATTATTATTATTATTAGTGTAAATAATAAAGCCGATAGTGTGCATCCCAGTCTCACAACACTTTGCAAATTTAAAAGCTCTGAAATCCATCTGTTATTTATGACAATGCATTCTGTCTCTGTGAATATTGTATTTATCCACTTTTGAAAAGATTTACCGTATCCAAACACTTTAATCATTTTTATTTCGGCGATATGTTGATATCATACACTTTAACGTGTTTTCTATGTAATTTTAAACCAACAGTGATTGATTTCACTCTTTCGTTGTGCTCATCTATTTTAATTCTCCAAAGGTCTCTAGACTTGTGGGTTTCTATATAATAATATAGTAAGGTTCTTACAGTTGACGATATCACTTAAAGAAAAGTAAAGTACCTCTTTTTTGGATAAAATCCTCGTTTCTGTTTCGAAAGTCATAGTTTTTATGTAAGACATAGTATTCCTGACCTCATACATGACTTAAATAATTTGTTTGTTTTGTCCTACATCTGATGATGACGTGGGGCACGTCGAAACATGTCGTTTATAAGCTTTATATACTTTATTAGATGCATTACTGCATTTGTATTATCATTAATATTAGTCAAAGCAACAAACGTTCGGGAACAAAAGCTTTACTGGAGCATGAACTTGTTCGTAAGACTCAACAGACCTGGTTGTTACGGTAGACAAAGGCTCTTACCGACACGTTTTCTGAGTAGTTTTGGCGGGTTGATCAAATTTTTTTTTTCGGCACACTTGGTTCAAGAACAGCTTTCAACTTTGTTCCCTGTTTCTCAAACAAGAAAAAATAATTAAATCAATTGATCCTTGATGACCACATAACGTTCATAAATAAGAATTTTCTGATTGATTTCAAATTGAATAAATTTTATTGTTGGTTCTTTAGTTCATGTATACGCATAACCGCCACTATCGTAATCATCAATTTTTAAATTACCTAATTTCATTATAAAATTGTAGTATGTTGTTAGCTTTGGTTATTCTATATTACAGGTATGTTCCGATGTCGAACCAAGCATGTTAAAAAACAAGTTTATGGAACACAAAAAACAAGCTTGTGATTACTTCAGAAAGAAAGGGAAACAAATTGGCATATCATATTCGGAATGCATTGAAAATCTGGAAAGCATGTGTGAAGACGAATATACAAAATACAAAAACATAATGGATGAGAAAGTGGTAAGAATGATTTGCAACATACATACTATAGAATAAAGTTATAAGCAATTGTAAAGAAGGAGTAAAAAAGTAATAACCCCTCTACTTTTTTGTATTTAAATTATTTTTACATTACTAAAGTACTATAAGTGCTAATACATACACATACACGCGCACACACACACACACACACACACACATATATATATATATATATATATAAATGCAGTAATGCATTTAATAAAGTAAATGTAACTTATAAACATATTTTGATGTGTCCCACGTCATCATTACGCAACGCTTTTGCTACTGTTTAAATACTACCGGTCAGATGTAAGATGAAACAAGCAAATATTAAGGTAATTCATTTATATAGAGGTCAGGAATGCTATGGTAAGTCCTGTATATAGGAATTAGAATGAATTAGGTTTAAACAGGCCCAGATTTAATAAATGCCTATTCGTTGTATGCACATCCATATGCTAGGCCTAAACTGACCCGACAATGCCGACGCAACGTCCTCAACGATCATTTCCTGGGCGTGTAGGATCGCGCTAGGCCCCATACAATGCGCAACACCAGCTGCACTATCGCCAGAAAAAAGGAGTACATTAACCTTCATAAAAATTAAATATCCAACAGGAATGTTGTTGCTGATGATTAGCGAAATTTTCTTTTATCCGATCGCACATTTCACTATATACATCTTCAAGATTGGTTCCTTTGTAAATTTCGACAGCCCGTTTTGTTGTTTTTAATTTTTGTATTTTTGTTTTTCTTAAAGATATCTAAAATACGACTCTTTTCTATATATTCAGATAGGTAGAAACATCAACCCCAGTCCGCCCGCGAATTTTAACATCTTGTACAAATCCATTCAAGGAACAACGCTTTTCTCCAATTCCTTCCTTATTCGATTTTGTCTTAACCTTTCTCTCCGTCTAAGTGTTCTACTCATAATCTCATCTTAAACCGAAAGGTCCACAGATTAATCTCAGATAAAAAAGTGGAATACATACTCCAAGTATTGACATACACGCCATCGTGTTGGGTTTCAATATTTCGACAATAATGTCATCATCAGGAATAAAAAGAAATTATCCATAATAGCAGGCTTATATGTACTTGTACCAAAAGTG